AGTTTATTCCGTGATCTACCACGGTTCTTATAACTAGCAGTTTTAATTTTTTTAAATTATTTATAGAAAAAGGGGCAAACGAGCATGCGGCTCACCTGATGGTGTCTACCGATGCCCACGAACAACTGCAACAGCAAGGGTATTGCAGGTTTATTGCCGGCCTTTTAGAAAGAAGTAGGTATATAAATTCGTGTAGTAGCGGTGTATTAATATCCACGAGCCCATATCATCCCGTAGGTACCGTAAAAGGTGAGAGAGAGAAACAAACCAGGAGATGGGCAGCAGCGTCTTCCAAATACCACTAAAAAACTGCAGTTGCAAATCCGCCTGCCAAGTCTGATAACTATGGCAAATATGTATGTCAGGCAATCTATGGGGGAGACCTATGGTTCAGCAGTGGACTTCAGGCTGTAAAGGTATATAACACCGAAAATTGAATAGTAGGGAAAAGTAAAACATCCCAAACTACTACAGATCAAAAGCGAAATTACAGTTTAAATGCAAACCGCACCCACGTACATCAATCTGGAACAATTCTGATTGACGTTGATCCGGCATGCGGCGTAACATTACAACATTTTGCAACAATCCTAAATCAGTTGCCAAATAACATCCACAGCAGACGTGGGCGTTTACCTTCTCCACAAACAATTAAAAGGCTATTGCACTGTGTTAGTAACTAACAAACTTTGATAGATTAACCTAATATCATTATATAACAAACATAATGCAAAACTGTCACCCACGCGTCTCGTGCAAGCTGATCGAGTGCTGTTATTAATGATACTATTTTATTTTTAGTCTTCAATATGTCACTGTTAATGAAATTGCTGTTTGGCATCATGGAAGTACATTTTATAGAATGAAGGTGACAAACGAGTACATAGTCCACCTAATGGTAATTGAATGCTGCGGCCCGTAGACACCTGCATCTATCCTTGATTAAAAATCAAACCCAGATGCACTGTAGGACCTCAGAACTAAGATAGAATGTCTCGTTTCTAGAAAACGGTCTCCGACACCACTCACTCACCAGCCTAAAATGCTATTCTAAAAATAAATACGCGAAGTAAATTGCAGCAATAAGTAGCTATTTTATGTTGGTATTTTGTAATACCCTGAACCTAAAAAAAAAGAGATAAAGTCTGTAAAATTAATTTTCAGAATATACTAACAAATCATCCCATGATTATCGTAAGAGATGACAGAGGGAAATGAAAAAAAGATGGGCAATCAAAAATCTTTCTGATAACAATTGAAACAAGTAAGGAATTGCGGTTGACGACCCGCCTGCCAAGCGTAGCAACTATGGTAAATATTGCCTGTGTCAGTATACGAAAATGCCGAACCTAAGTAATATACCATAATATACTGGTGATAGTGAGCAGGGTGCCATTGCGAGGTTGTTGACTCGGCATTCATAAATGCGAATGAATACGCTCAAACCTTTCAAGTCTTACATTTCAAAAGCCTATGTCTAAATTAGAGATAAAAGAATACAATAATACTACAACAGTTTAGAATTTAGGAGAGTGTGAAACGTTTTTTAATCGCGATTAACATACATATTACATAATGCCACATTTAATATTGACATACTTAACAATTTAAAAGCCATTTTGTTACAGCGATTGAAAGTTACTCTTGCTTAAAGTTGCTTCATAAAATCTATAAATCTAAATCTCTTTCATTCTTGCCCACAATTAATTGCCTTTCCAAGATTTACAACGCTGCTATAAAGAATAGACTTCTAAATTTTACCTTACAACCTTTTTAAATTACTTACTTACCGGAGCAAAGTAGCTACTATACAGTAAAATATCTATATGTGTGTACTATAATGTGTGAACGTGAGTTTGTGTGATTGGAAGTTCAAGTTTTAACAGTAATAGTTCCAATATATTATGATAATGTTAAAACCGTTGTACCTACAAATATATTGCCTTACAATAGCACTCTTGGAAGTATTGAATATTTTTTCTACGGTGCTCAAATGCTGCTTTACTAATGGTTAGTCTTTTCTCCTTAGAAACAATTTGCCGTAATCGTCACGCCTCGAAAGAGGGTTAGTGATGGCAGTATCAGATTTTTCGCATCTCTTTGTTGCCAGACAGGTGGCGTATTTCATATCTGACATAATATACGTAATGGTTGTGCCGCTATTTGTCGGAGGCTACAATATATTACTGGCATTTCCTACAGTCGACTGACGCAGTCATTACGCGACAAATAAAAGTTGTTATAATAGTAAAGTTTACTAGGTGATATTTCTGCCGATAAGCCGCAGTGTAATGATTACTGGGCTGTGATTTGGAAAGTTAGTGAACCAGTATAATTACAAGGTATAAGGCATTCTATATTAATTCTCGTATGATAACACTTCTGTACCGGTTTTTTTGTTAAAGTTGGCTGGAGATGCCTTGCAGATCTTACCATCAAATGGATTGCAACTACATTTGACTCTTTTACTAGCACAAACATCATATCACTACTAACAACCGCGCGGTCTTCAATTAAAAGTGCCTGGCTACCATGACATTAACATGTTATGTCAACATTTTCTCCCCTTGTGTATTACTTTTACACTGCTTCTTAGCTTAAAGCTTTAAAAGTAATTTTTGTTTGTTCGTATTCTATGCGCTGCCATACGATTCATCAGATTGCGGTAAAACTTTGTCAACTTATTTCTTGCAAAGGGCTGGTATCCATTAAGTTCCGCCGCGGTTACCTAAATTCGTTCGGGATTGAAGGCGGTTTTTTTTTTATAGGATAGGGTGACGAACGAGCACACAGTCCATCTGATGGTAAGTGGCTACTGTGACCCATAGACATCTACATCTATCATCAATAAAGACTCAAGATGCAGATGCGTTGCCGCCCGTGAGGACTAAGATGGAATGCCTCTTTGCCAGTAATAAGGGTCTCCGGTTCTCTACACTCACCATACGAAACACAGCAGCATTAAGCTGCTATTTTACGCTGGTATTCTGTGAGAGCGTGGTCCTTCCCCGGTCGAGCCGACCCATTCGTGCTACAACTATACTACTAATATAGCTGCAGCATGGCTCTACCACGTGTTAACCATTAAAACTATTTAATGTCTTTATATGATGACACTTACATTTTCAAAGAATTCCCTTATAAGCATACACTTGGCAATACTAATCAAAGCTCAATTAAGCGATATCGTAACTGGGTCGCATCATATTCTCGAGCCCTAAATGTGGGTCATATTGTGAGCTAAATTGAATACCGTGATACACGAGACTCGATGAAGGCACTCTAATAATCTTTTTAATAAGTCATTAACGGAGATAAGAATGAGGACGTGGCTCGATTAATCTAACTCGGTTACCTTGAAACAAAGCTCGCATTGTTATACAAATTGCTATAATTAAGATAAACATGTTTCAATAACTTGAAGATTAGGGCTACATTATGTTAAAAAATACTTTCTTTGTTGTATCGAGTGTCTCCCAAATACCGCAAAATAGTGCTTGCATCATCGTATAAAAACGAATAAAATGAAAGTCTTGGGTAGGGTTACATCACCACTTTAATACAATAGGAAATTAAATTAAATGCATATTTGGTCCACTTAAATTATAGAAAAAATTAAGGAATGAGCAAAGCGGAGGCAATGGCTCGACCATTTAGCTTTAAGAACCGACATGCGATGGGGAAGAAAGTTTCTTGAGTTTCAGCCAGGTAACAGTCAGCGGAGCATGGGCGTTAACCCCCCCTCCCCCTACCCCCTTCCAATAGGTGGAGTAACGACCGTGATAGTATACGTACGAACTCGATGGATGCAGGTGGCATAGTACCGTGTTCTGTGGCGATATTTGGGGCGATAATGGTTATGATGATACAAAAAATAACTCTAGCTTTATAAATAACAAAAAGACTTTGACCTCTATAACAAACAAGGATATTTGACCTCGTTCCTGCATTGGTGCAACGGCACTTCAAGTTTAAACTGGGTCAAATAGTCATAAAATGCGTGCAGTTTTTGTGATGTTGGAATAAAATGTCAAATGTAGCGTATTAACTGAATTGAAGTTCAAATACCTTACGGAGCCAAATGTCTTTGTATTAAACAAATTATCTTTATGAAAACGATAGCTACCTTTCATCCTTAAGGATGTATGAGCCAATAGATTATACAGGTGGATTGCTCAAAACCGGGTAAAATGGAGGGGAATTACCAAGAAAACGAGGCCCGGTTTAAGCCGGTACCAAACTAACGGATAAGGATTTCCTACTTGTTTTCGACACGTACGCAAACACACAATAACGAACCATCAGCGTTTATCTTTTCTTTTTAAGACCGGGTCTACACGCGTGGCAGTTACGGGCTTTGTCCATTTATTACTAGGATAAAAATCACGAATAGATGAAAATTTTATATTATTAAAAGTGTAAAGTACGGTTAAACCTAACTGTTTGATTAATTTTTTGTATCGATAAAAAACAACTACATGTAACATGTTTTTAGATAAAAGCCAAGTATTTTAATACCATATTCAGACACTTGATTTGTTGAAATTAGTGACCGAATAAAATGTATTCATGAATGTTTTAATCAGGGAAGACCATCTCGAAACGTTATCGCTTTCAATATCGATTGCTGATGCTGGAGAATCAACAAATATTATATTATCTGACTTCTGCATGATAGGTACTAGAAAGTCCAATTTTCATGAACATACGATTTGAAGTTAAAAATTTTACATTAAGAAAGTAAAATGTAGTAGATACTCGTATCTGTATAATCTATCTGATTGCGATAAACATCTAGATGTAGTTTACCGAAAAGAAAAGCTTTCTATTTAATATCTTTAATATCCATAAACAGAGTACGTGTTTTTTTTTTACAGGAGAGGGGGCAAATGAGTATACGGTTCACCTGATGGTGACTACCGCCGCCCATGACCAACTGCAACACCAGAGTTTTTGCAGGTGCGTTGCCGGCCGTTTAGAAAGGAGTAAGTATTTTTCTTGAAGGTCCATTAGCAAAATGGTAAAAACATTAAAGTGTTTGTTTGTAGTCTTTTGATGCAGGATTTTTATAGAGTAGCAACGCCGAAATAATAAAAAAAAATTATGTAGTTGTATTCGTTATTTTTTTTTTAATCTAAAAGTATTAATCAATAATGACTATATACTATTATTGAGTTGCAAGAAATGTAAAAATGGTGGTGGAGTTTAAAACTTTCTCGTTTGTTAAACCCGAACGATGGACCATCTGAATGATTCAGATGGTCCATCGTTCGGGACCGTGTGAGATTTACCAGAAGTTTTCTTGCAAAACTTCATTGTGGAATCGGATACCACCAGAGATGTTTCTTAACCGATACAACAATCCTTAAAGAGCCTACTCTTTTATAAATGGCCGGCAACACACCGGCATTTCACTTAGCAGTTTATGTACACAAATACTTCTTAAAATGGTAAAAAACATAATTATGTACAATTTATTACAGCCTATCAAAAGTCAAGTTTGCGACAGTTGCAGCGTTTTTTATTTTGTTTTGTTAACAAGAAGATGCTGCTGTATATCTCCTGTTTCATTTCTCTTTGTGACCAATACGACAACTACAGGATACATAATCACTACCATGTGTTTGTATATATGCATTCTCTTCCGTCGCCACTACCACGGCGATAAATTACAACTGAATTGTGCACGTATATATATACTTACACATTCTAGTTGTAATATATGATCATCGTCGTAATCATTATCTTCATTAATATTAGCTTATCAATACACTTGAATTCTACTGTCGCATATAACGATGGATTTGTCGTAACTCGGTGATATTATCCATTATGCAATTTATAAATCAATGTCATAAAATCTGAAACTGGCCCGAAACTCGATAAAAAAAAAGAAAACACACACCGTTTAAAGACTTAATAAACGTCAATTACATCATCAGCTAGTGTCAATTAATGGCATGCGTCTGAACGTAAATTAAGCGCACTTTCGAATCTGTCGGCGCAACGTGTTGCAGCTTATCATTTTTACATTTTCTTGGCGCATCGAGTTTCTCGACGCATCAGACGGCCCGTTACGAATCGAACCGGCTCCCGCATTACGCTGTCCGCTATATTATGACAGCTAATACAAGATGGTTCGAATGGTAAAAAAATGGCTCGGCTTAAGTTTAATAAAATAGTAAATTTATATTTTTATTTATTAGAAAACAATATGTGGTAGAGTAACGATCCAGAGTATTATAATTATCATCAATACAGTCTTTCACAAGTCTACTGCTGAGCCGCCGTATTATGCCTGCAGGAAAACTGAATCGGCTTGACCAGAGAAGGACCACAGTGTAAGTGACGAGAACATTCCATCTTAGTCCTCAGGGGATTTTGCATTTTGTATCTATTTTTATATTTGTGGAGATGTATGTGCGCATATGGGTCAAAACGTTCACTTACCATCATTTGGTAATTTTATTTATCGACATCGGAACAGTAAGCTGAAGAATAGACCTGCTACACAGTTTGAAGAAGCGATAACCGATAGGAAAGAAAGATTTTTGAGCACTAGAAACTTGCACATTAATGACTATCTAGTGTAAGCTATGCAGGAGGAAGTCGATGGATGCTGGTAGCTATGTTCAGCAGCGGACTTGTGATGGGCTGTAATATTGATAATGATGATGATGATATTATTTATCGCTTACCTGAGCATCTCTCCTTGGTTGTGGCAACCTCATCACGGGTGGCGGCACCGGCGCTGGCATTCTCATCGGTGGGGGCGCCCGTGGCCGCAACGCGGGCGGAGGAGGCGGCACATATGGAGTTGGGTGCGTATAGTGAGATAGGAGACCATGGATAGGCGAAGGTACGTGCGGAACTAAAGCAGTATGGTGGGAAGAGGGAGTTTGGGAAACTGGAACTGACGGCCGAGGCCCGTGCAACACGGCCACTGTCGGTGTTAGTGGGGGTGCACGTCGTTCGCGGGAGCGTTCCACTATGGCGAGGTGTTCCGACGGTCGGATGAGACGCGGCGGGGGCTGGGTTCGCGGTCGCGGCTCCGGTGGTCGCACAGGTTGAATGGCGAGTTGAGCACTGTGTTTTGGACTCGTGTGTGCGCCATGCTGTGGATTCATTAGAGCGCCATGCTGTGGACTCATCTGAACGCCGTGCTGGTGACTCATCTGAGCACCTTGTTGTGGACTAACATGAGTAACATGCTGCGGACTCATTTGGGTCCCATGTTGTGGACTCATCTGCGTGCCATGGCCGTTGGGCCGAGGGGGAGGCGGTGGCGGGCGCCTTCGCGCCGCCTCCGTTTCGTCCGTCATCGGTGCGCGCCAATCTGTGAACAAAAAATGACAATTTATAATAATCCTCTGCAGAGAGCATCTCCACGTAATTTTATAAATTAAATTATTATAATCGCGGGGAAAAATACGATTCCAACATAATTCCCTATTTTATTATAAGAACTCAATTAACACTATATGTATAACGCGTTTGCGTAATACTTAAGTCAGCTTTTTGTTTTCCCAGTTTTAGGCGAACTTGTCATATCTGGATAATATTGTATTATCTTAAAATGTACATACTACAATTAATAAAATATTGCAACGTACACTATCTACTAACTTACAAAAATTCTGTCAAAAAAGTTGTATTATCTGATAAGGGTACTCGAGCGCCTGGCGGTTGGCTCGACACTGAAGGTAGCTACACTTCTGAATACTTGATTCCTCGATCATTAAAAAATTGGATCCTAAGTAGGAACTTTATCAATTAAAAACATATAAAAACAAACTAAGTCGTAGCTCGTGAGTTCTTTGGATAGCCACGAACAGAAAGTTTTGTGAATATATTTATTTACTAGCGATCCGCCCCGGCTTCGCACGTGAGATTCCTGGATCTCCAAAACAGCGTCACCTACCGGTCCAAATGTGAAAGTTTAAAGACACCCTCAACATAGTACAAACAAACACAAAAATTTTTACACAATCGTATACGAGTTCATTAACAAACACACGTAGAGAAGAGTTATATAATATATAAAGATTATTTAAGCACAGAGAACTCAAGCACACTAATTAAAACTCTGTCTGTTTTGTTTGTTTCATATTTACAGTTAATTAAAATATTTTTAATGATAATAAAACCCCTTATTAAAAGTTAAAACAAGATACAGTTTTTAATAGTTTTCTACTATATTAAACGTTTAAATATAGAGATAAAGGAAAGCTATAGTTACAGACTTCCCTGTTCACATCTAGACCGGACGCTGGCAATCCGCGTCGAATTGTCTACAAACAAACAATAACGGCTGTGCAACGGTTTGCATCCGGACGAGTTCCGGAATGTGCTCGAACCCAAACGCGTTACATCCGAATTTTCTAGTCAATTAAAATACGTTTAAGCGCTTTTCATTTAATACAGTCAGTGTCCCATTTTTATAATTGTTTCCTTTAAACTTGTGTGAAGGATCCATCTCTCTCAATCTCATCCCGCGGGTGTCTTAAAAGCAGCAAAGCTATATGGAAAACATTAAAAAGATCTTGAATAAAAGCATGTAGGCACATTATTTCGAATAATATGTATCTATGCACAACCTAGACCGGTGACAGAAGAATATTTATCTGATACTGACTACAATAACTATTCGCATACAGGTTACGATCAAGGCAAATCTTACCAACCAGGAGTAAGGTCTATATTTAAGAGTGGAATGTTTAATGGTTTCTTATATTTATGCGAACACTACACATTGAATAAAACTCTTTTTTACGGATTTTATCGCGGTTAATTTACTTATTTTAATTCCCGACGTCTGATCCATTAAAACCCACGTGAAAGAACATATAGCTGACGTGAGGCACCGACGCTCTGGGAATACTGCAGTCTGTGAACATGTTCTAGATCTAGATCATCCCCGCCACTGCATCAGATTTGACAGACCACAATTCCTTACAAAAGAACGCCGATTCCTACCAAGGATGGTACGCGAGGCTATTGAAATTAATAAACATCCTAATTTTAATACAGAAGATGGATGGGTGCTGCCATCTGCTTGGGATCCTATAATTAACAAAATTAAATCTAAACCCCAAACATAACGCTGCAAGACTTCAAGATACTGTAAGCTAATTCTGCGTAGATCGAACCAAACATTAATATTCAAAAACTGAAGGTAGCCGGGCTAACTGTGACATCGGGACGTCAAATATCTCAGCCCCCCCGTGATCATGGATTGCTGTAAAGCATCCGAAATTTCGGGAATTAAAATAAGTAAAATAAACGCGATAAAATCCGTAAAAATAGTTTTATTCAGTGGAATGTTTGTATGCAGATGATGAAGTTTTACATTATATTTATATCCTTTCAATACTTACTAAAATGCCAGTGCAAGAAAATAATCCAGTTAAATAAATATCACGACTTTAGCAAGCTTAAAATATAATAAATAATAATTAAATCTATATTCCCCTCCAAAAATAAATCTCCAGTTCTTAATTCGGACTGAAATTACTTAAGCACAGCTATCAATGAAATAATTGCGTGCATGGCATGCAAAGCATGTGAAATCCTTATTAATTTTTATTGTATGGAAAATCATTCGAAAAAGAGCACTTAATATGTACAATGTTATAATACCTATCGAAAGCACCGAACAATTCTATGACATTCATCCCAAATATACTTAAATTAGAGGCACATATAAATACTAATTACATAGGTATATATTATTCATAAACTAAACAGTAATAAACAACTCATTTAAAATACAAGAAAAAAGTATTACAACAACAAATAGTTGATATCAGCGCCATCTCTTCGATCAACGTAGAACTATTATAACTTAACGAACACGAGTTCGTTTTCGCCAAATAGTCTGACATGCGTTGATATTCTACGGTAGGTACGCTGGAAATTTACAAAACACGCTACCTATATTGAACGTTAAACGCAGAATGAATGGCGCCACTGAGATAGTTTTTTTTTTTTTTTTATATAGAAAATAATACGAAAAATGAATAGCAAATTTGACTGAAGTATTAAAGACAATCTATCTTGAATGCAACATCTTCTATATAAATAAAATGATAAAGGTTTCCAGTTGTGCGCGCTTCACGGAAAAGCTACTGGATAGATTTCAATTAGGTTTTTAAGTTTTATTTCTTAGATACATGGCCATTATCAAAAAAAAAATATTGCGATATCTTCATTTAATATAAAGATATTAACATTTTAAGAAACAACAATCTTTATAAGTACTACGTGTGCAGTTATGTTTTCTTTGTTAATATATCAAGCAACACGGACGAAGTCGCGGGTGTGAGCTAGTTTAAAAATATTAAAATTTTTTTAACAAAATATAATTCGAATGCTAAAGCATAACTAATACACTAACAAAGAGACAAAACACAAAACGCCCACTTTTACTAAAGAGCATTTATAATCCCGATATGAATAAAACATGGCATTGTTTTGTTACATAACGGGCTATCTTATTTGCTTTAGTTCGTGCCATTTTATAAATCATCAGAGCCTGCATTTGCATACCTACTACCCATATCTGATGGGAGATTTGAATTACTGCTAGGGCATAATGGCTTTCATACGCCGTTCCGTTATCTGGTTATTGTAGGAGATACAACGGATTCACTACTAAAAAGGCTTAAAAACAATCATTTCTGTGAAACCGACAACAATATCGCACATTTAGTAATGACAATTACTAATTCTAATTAATTACATTTAGAATGACATGCACTGTATATATATGATGAGAATAAATAAATAAACACAAATAAAACATTTAGTTCACTGATAAACACTAAATCAAAATATACGTGTCCGTGGACTGCAACAGTCACAATTAGGTAGACTGAAAGTGCATTTATCACTTCAGTTCAGTCAGTCAAACTGCTGTACAGTTTACATGTTGTCTGTATATACCTGCTTTCATAAAATTGTACATAAAATATAATTTAAAGTTTAAAACGCTATTTCAAATTTTAAATACAACAACGTAATAACATTTTGATTTAAATGAAAGAGGTAATTATATAATAATGGATATAAAATCAAACTAAACAAACACAACACAAGTACAAAGTCAAAGTCAGTGGTGTACAAAGATACTTCGCGGCATCTCAAATCAGCAATGAAATCAACATTGTTCGTAATATATTTTTAAACTGTCCTTAAGATTTTAATTTAAAACGGAATAAAGAATGTAAAATGTACAACTGTAAATTATCGTACCAATGTGAAAAAAGGGAAAATAATATAAGTTTCATTCTATAAATTAAAAACAACAAAGTATTTTCTTTGACATATTTACTTTTCGATGTCCACATTTATGAGTATTTATTCGCTCTTGACCCAGAAATCTGCAAACAAGTTGTTGCCTTAATAAATATAAGGTTAATGAGATAATAATTAACATCTTGCCATTGCTTTTCGATCGTTTACTTTGAAATGCGGCATTTCATGCAGAAAATTTGTAAAGAATAAAAAGTTATCAAACAAAGTAAAAAAACAAAAATAAAAACATGAACGCATAAGTTAAAAGAGTCACGAATCCCTTCTTCTCCAAAAGAGTCGGGCTATGCTTAGAATTGATGTTTAAAGTTTGGCACGTTTAAGAAAAACTAGTACAACCTTTGACATTCATCATCACTGGTCCGTAAGGTGTTTTTAAAACAATTTTTTTTAATGTGTAGTGTTCACGTGAAAATACAAAATCATTATTATCAAAATTATTTTCTTTATTATTTTTTTATTTGGCTTTAGTGATGAGAGGGCAAATTTTCTGAATAATGCTTGCTTCGTGGCACGTTATTGGAAAGGCCGGTATTCAGCAGAAACTGCTGATAGATAATTATGCGTTGTTAAGCAAAAGGACCCATACTATGGTCAACAATAAGTTATTAGTAGTTGACTGACTCGTTGGCCTAGTGTTCGTAAAAGCGGTTGTAGATCATGAGGACTCACTTAACAGAATCACGGGTCGGGCCAAAATCTGGTGGTGTTTTTCTGTCAAGAAATTCTTAGTAGCAGCCCGGAGTCAGTGGAAAGCACGTAAAGCCGTTGGAGCTGCGCCTGAACTCTCTCCGGTCGCGGTCGTATCGGTTTGCCGTCCCATCAGGACTATGAGAGGGAGGGAATAGAGAGTGCACTTGTACTTGCGCACACACCCGGCTACTATAATCCAGCCCTGCGCAGCTATTTAGTTTAGTTTGAAAACATACAAATTATTACTTATTTTACAAACATGAACGCGCGTCTTTATCACTGGATACAAACTTTAAACGTCAATATCTTAGAAGTTTTTATCTTAAAACA